CCTTTTCTCGGTGGTTTCTTTGTCCACAAGTCCGTAGTAACAACAACACGAGCACTCAATTTTTGATGTAATTCACCATAGATTGCTTCGCACTTGATACATATCCAAGATATCCTTCCTAATTGTGTTTCTAGACACTACCTTGAATCTTTGGGTGCAATGCAAAGCACAAAACTTATGAAATCAACATAATCCACCATGGAAAGAGGAAACTCATGGACAATAATCATTAAAGCAAGTTCTTTCCTAGCGACATCTTGATCAAACACATACTTCTCTAATGTGACAGTGCCATCTTGTGGGTTTGCAGATAATTTAAGAGTAGACTGTGTTAAACCTTTTCTAGTAGCTCTGTCCTGACATACAGCAATGTGATTCTTTAAGTGGGTTGTACCATTTCTTGTCTCCCCACCTAAATGTTTTTTGCACCATTTACATTTTGCTTTCCATACCCCACTTACATTAATCAAATCAAAGTCTTTCCATACTTCAGATCTTAGCTTCCTCTTACTACCAACAGGAACATCATCTTCTACCTCTACCACTTTGAATTATTACCTAGAGTTGCGAGAATCGATTCTGTCGGTGTTTCTTTGAATCGGATAATGGTGTCTTCTTTGAATTGGTTGTAAGACGTGGGACGAGAACCCACAGATTGAGATGCAGAAGAAGAAGCAGACTTGAGACCCACTTGAAGCGCCAGAGCCGACATTGCTCACTTCCTGACAAATACAAAAGGGAAATTCGTGATGAGCATAGACATAAGATGGGCTAACTTCTCAACAAACTTTTCAATGGCTATTGACAATAAGAAAAGCATAAGAAAGTGGAAATCACTTCAATTTACGGCCATTTGCAGCAATGAGTGCAGGTTTCAACAGAGCCAATTGCAGCAAATATGGAAAAAAAACTTTTCTGAACAACATATGGAAAAATTGCATATATCCTTTGGTGTGAGCCAATTGCAGCAATGAATTCATTCTATGAATAGAGAGAATTGCAGAAAACAAATTTTTCACAAAAGCGCATGTATATATGCCAATTGCAAATAGCGTATAATTGAAGAATTTTACATCTTAGGGTTTCAACAGAGCCTTTAGCATGGCACCCATGAGAAGTACTATGAGCTTAAATACTAGACTCTGTAAAATATACCATCAGTTTGAAACCAGATGCCAGTGAGCAACATCTACGCTGACACCAAGAACAATTGGCATGCACGCCGCCTAGAATGAGACTTACAGAGTGCTCTCAACTATAGGCGATGAATCGAGAGATCGAGACCGTGTCCATGCAAGTAAGCGCAAGAAAAATCAAAATGTCACATCTCTATAGATCGATTTCATAAGCGAGAAGCGCAAGAAGAAGACGGCCGAGAGAACCATACCTAAGCGACCAGATACAAGAAGAAAGCGCGCGGCCGATCGCTGCCAAGCTCCAAGACACCAGACGCAGCTCGGATCAGCTCCCGCGCGACCTCGCTCCAGATCTTGCCCCACCGGCGGCACCACAGATCCGGCGTCCGCCCCCACGCCTTCAAGACTGAGACCGCATGGCGGCGGCGAAGCGCCAGACCCGTAAGTAGCCCAAAGAATGAGGAAGCAACGGAGAGGCGGGAAACGAACGGATGGAAAGCGGCGGCCGAGAGCGAGGAGGGCAAGAGGATTCGGACGGCTCACCTCTTACGGTCGGCGGAGCGGCGGAAGAAGCGGAACTCGAGGTGAACTTCGTCGTTGGCGTGAAGCGTGAGAGCGAGTTGACTTGCCGACGCCGAGTCGCCGATCGAGATGCGCCGCCGTACTGCGTCTTGGTCAGGAAGGAAGGAACGAGCCGCCGACCCGCCGTCGCTCGTCGCGCAGGCGTGGATGCGATCTTGGTGTCTTGGCTGCGGCGCTGGGTGGATCCGTGGATGCGGATGAGGGCCGAGGGAGTGAGGGTTGGCGGTTGGGGTGAACGAATCATCGATTCCACGCTTATATACTTAGGGTTCCTAGGTGGGCTTCTGGTGGGCTGAAATTTACGGAGCCCGATGGAGCTCCACGGGTCAATTTTAATATCCGCCCCCAAAACCGCGGTATTTTGGTATCCGAACCGCATAAATCCGTGGGTGAAAACCCAGAACAAAGCAAAACCGCGGACTCGAAACTCATGGATACCCAGACCGAACCCGATCCGCTGCCATCTTTGATCCCCACCCCCCCAAAAAATGTAATTCTCACTTTCCCTAGAAGCCGGACAATTTAAAGTTTGATCAAACCTATATGAAAAACTACTAGTAACATTTATGATGCCAACTTAATATTATTAGATTAATTATAAGTTATATTTTCATAGTAAAATCTATTTGGAGGCATAAATGTTGGTACTATTTTTTTATAAATTTGGTCAAATTTAAAAAAAGTTTGTCTTGTTTTTAACTTAGAATTATATATTTTGGAATGAGGTTTATATATGGCTGCAAGCCTGCAACAGTAGCGGGCCCAGTGGGTAGTCTAGGTAGACCTAGTACTGCCCTGCAGAGCCCATAAAATTTGGCCCGGACGCCTACCTTTCACAGTCCCCCGACGGCTTGCGGTTGCGGCCCGTCGCTTCTGCGCGAAGCGCGACCGCGGCACCACGCGAGCGACCGACCACCGCCGCCCCCAGCCCAGCCGGCTCCGCCAGTTCGCTGGCAGCCGCCAACGCCGCCATCACCAAGCTGCTTTCCTGGCCGGCGGCCGTCCAGTGTGCTGCCCTGGCCCTGCCCCCCGGTGTCCTGGTGACTGTGGCTGGTGAGTGCTTCTTCACTGCTTTCTCCCAATTCACAGATCCGTTTCTTAGGACGGACTGTGACCGTTGGCCGCTGCAATAGAACTTGTTTGTTAAAAAACGTGAATAATACTGTACAAATTAGACGATGGATGTATTTGGGCATGGTGGTGAGTGGAAGAAGGTGTGGTGTGGACAAGAAGAGGGTGCTCATCCGGTCGTAAATGGGAGCCACGGGCAAGGCAGGAGCAGTGGGCCCCGGAATATTTGGGCCTGGGGATGGATGGGCCATGGGCCTTTCCCAGCAGTCAGCGCAATCGGCGGCCTCCACGCCGCGCACGCACAGCAGCAACTCCTCCTGCCGCCCCGGCGGCGGGGCCGCCTTCTCCTCGACTCGACCACCACTCCCTGCCCCGTGGCCCCGCTTCGGTCGCCGCCCGAGGAGCACAGTCCCTTCCGCCGCCGCCTCGCCGAGGGAGCACAAGCCTGCCCAGGAGACCCCTCCCTGCCTCCGCCGCCGCTCCGTCCGAGGCGGGCAAGCCCGCCCCACCGGCCGGCCGGCCCCTCCCTGCCTGCGCTGCCAGGTCGCGCTCCCTCTCCGGTTCTCGCCCGGTTTGTTCGTTTGGGTTCGACATCCTTTCCTTCCAGACGCCGAGACGCGGTTGGTTGATTGATTAATTCTGTCCTTCCTTAGGAGCATCCGCAGTCGTGGTCGACCCATCGGAGGGAAGGATAGCCACCGACCTCCGCGCCGCCCCGGCCCCGCCCTTGGCTGTCACCGCCATCGCCGCCTCCACGGCCATCACCACCCCGCCCTCGGCCGCCACCGACACCTCCACGACCTACTTCGTGGCCGCCGCACCGTCGGCCCTCCGCCGTTGCGCACGTTGAGCCGGAGGTCGGAGATCTGCCTCGTTGAGCCGGAGCCGGAGGTCGGAGTTCAGCCTCCGCCTACGAATCGGCAGCAGCAGCCAGCAGGTGCAATTCCGCCCTCTTTTTTTTTTTTCATTCAGCCAGAGTCGACCTCAGAATCTTGCATCGGTTCTTCCCTCTCTCTCCTCAATGCATCTTGCATCGCCTCCTGCAGTGGTTGATTCGACTCCTTGTGCCACTGAGAAGCCCCAAGTAAACCCAGCTAAACCCAGCTAACTTCCTTTTGATTGGATGTATCCCCGTTGTCGCAGGAGTTGGGGTTTCGGCAAATTCAACCCGTCCTTTCTGTACATTCCATTAGAGTTACAATAATAGTTGCGCATTTCATTGTTGCATACATGGTGCCCCAACCCATCTGACCATTGTTCTGTTAGATTATTCTTTTTATGCACGCAGCGTTGATCCACCAGACCACCACTGTTGAAGTGCTAGTGCACTTTTTTTGGTCCACTTATAAACAGTTAAACCCCAGGGAGCGCTGTGCACGCTTGATTTTACCCGCATGAAAGGTCATGAACGCTGAAACGGTTTAAAGAAAGCTATAAAAGTGAGACAAATCAGAGGTGGAGAAAGACAAACTATGGCCTTCAAACTCATGGATGCATGATAATGTCACGTTATTTAAGTTAGCACGCCAAATTTGCTCTATTTAATAGCATTACTATAGCCGTATGCAAAAGGTACAAACGTTTAGGTGCTACTAGGCAGAGCCTCATTGCCTGCCTAGTGCCTACCATTTTGTTATAACATTGAGTATTTGCTGACTAGGGCGTCTTGATAAAATTGAGAGTTGGGCATGGATATGTTACAGATGATGCTAATATATGACTTTCTTGGAGGGGTCCTCATAAACCAAATTGAGCATTGGCCCAACTTTCCTGGATTTTATTTGTCCGTTCTGCTGTAGCCCTGTATCCATTGTTGTCGTTGAGTACTTTTGCTGCGGTTTAGTTAGTTATGTCACTGCCAGTTGTCCTCCATCTTGAACTCTGCCGTTACTCACACGTGATGTTGCGCCATATTTTCCTTCATCTACCGCTTCCGATCCTTGTAAATTATTGTTCCATTAAAGTCTCTTTGCATTGGGGCATTCATTTGGTAGTTGTGTATTTAGTTCAAATTTATATTAAGTTCCAGTACATTCTGGTTGAATACCCCATCCTAACTCTACAGGCCCTAATGATTTTTATTTCCTTTTTTACTTGTCCGATTCTATGTTTGCCCCCATTGCTACTACCTAAACCTGCAATATTCCTTTCAGGCTTTCAGTGACACTCAAAGTTCAAGATAGCCTGCTGTAGATCACAACGGCCACACAGATGATTGATGATGAGGCCAACTTCGGCAATATCCTTGATGCCTCAGAAGAAGTTCAGACTACTGCAAAGTTCCGTCCCAAGCAACGGCCCAAACCCCAAAAAACAGCTCTGTCATCCAGATCTGCAGTGCCTAATCCTACTGAAGAAACTGGAGATGGGAAAGTAGGAGCCTTAAATCAAGTCAATTCTTCTAAAGAGCTCACCAGCCAAGAAAGGACATCCTTGACGTGCCCTGGTAGTGAGTCAGTTGATACTGTTGCTGGTTCTCAAGGTATTCTCGACACACCATTCGGAAGATGCGTTGACAGTTCCCCTGGGTCCTCTGGCTGGTGGTTCTGCTGCAGATAGGATTTCTCAAGATGGTGAGCACAATCCTTCTAAGTTAGCTATACACCAAGAAAACTTGGTGGTTTCAGATATCAATGTGTCACCTAACAGTTCATGTGGCAAGGCTATTGATGATATAGTTGAATTTGGGGACATGTGTGATGCACAAGTTGAAGAGGAAAGAGTTCCAAAGTTCCAGCCAAAGGCACAGATGAAGCTCCTGAAGGAAACAGCCAAATCTCGGAAGACTAACCAAAAGGTGGAAACTTCCACTGTAGATGTGGTTACACAAAATGGAAAGGGCGATAATATTCAGACAAGACTCCATGACGATCAGGTACAGGATCCTAAAAGTCATGAAAGTGTGCAGATCCCAGATTCTGAAGGATTATTAGCAACTGATAATAGTAAAGGTTGCAATTTAGTTAACCTCGACGGTGTCCTTGAGGAGTCAGTTCAAGAGGAAACAATAGCTAAGTTTCGTCCTAAATTGCATCCGAAGCCTGGGAAGGCTTCATCCAAGGTTGCTGTGACTAATAATAATGTTGCTGCTGTTGCTCCAATGGTTGGAGTTTGTGTCGGCAACAATGACATGTGCAGAGAACCTAACAACGAACTTATTAATCCTCCTATTGGTGGTACTCGATCAATGGTTGGCAAAGTCCCAGGTACAGCTTTTTACTGGTGAAACTTCTTTCTTTCGATGTACTGTGTATCCTATACTTTAAATAATTGCAGATAACTTTGTTGTTCTTTACATTTGACTATTTGAGGGCTATTTTTCATGGATGAAACATTTCACTAGAGTAAATGGAATTGAAATTACTTTTGTTAGATATGTGCTTATTGTTGCAATAATACTTGAGTATGAGCTTTGAGCTCCGTCATGCAGGCTTGTGTTTATGACAGATGGTCAGGTCAATGATCACTAGTGCTGTTTGTAAAGCCATAATTTGTATCTGTGCTGTTTTTAGACACAAGTGGTGTTTGCTGAAACAGTTTTTTGAGGTCTAAACCAATTGTTTATTAAAATATAGTTTCCTTCACTTGCTGACCCAAATATTTAAGGATCGAGTCTATTTTACTCGCTGAAATTTCCATAAGCATGCATAGCCCCTTAACTATTTAACTAGATATCCTACCCCCTAAAATTGCAACTCTGGACCACTTATTAAACTCTTCTTTTTTTCTCAAACATTTCATTAAGAAGGAAAAAAAGATACAACCAAGAGGGCATAAAGACCCTCGCTACCCACACATACACTGATACAATCTACCATAGGATCGTCACATACTCATAGATGCATATGACCAACTCGCCCAGGAAGGGGACTAAGAGTCCAAGGTGAGCGACTTTAGGAGTAGCTCGCATAGTCCCAGTCACCAGCTGAACACCACAGAGCACTCTCCTACTCTCCTTTGCCACTGTCTGTAAGACCAGTGAGACACATGGGCTAGGTCCGTTAAAAACACAGAATCATCCCTATGTTCCAAAGCTCCCAAGCAACTAAGATGAACTTAAACCCGGAAATTGTCTGGATGTGATGCAAGGTGGTTTTGCCCAGTTGGGCTGACATATGAACATTTATCGAGCGCTGATTCGTCAAAGAATTTTATATAGAAAATGTACGAAATCACTAGGTTAGCTCCCAAATCTGGCACTTCATAAAAAAATTGTTCAGATACCGCAGATAAATTGATTCATCTGGTGCCATTGTTGCGCCATTATCATTGCTGGAGGAATCACATGCAACAAATTCATGGGATCAGGCGGTGCACCAGCCCCATGTGCTTTGTTGCTCTACCTGTGTAAATTCTTCCGTAGGCATTTGTAACCCTGCAGTTTGTAATGGACATGAACTAGACCTAGAAAGCAGCAAGCTTGTGCTTCTAACCAAGAATCAGACATGTCTTTTGATTTCTCAGGACATGACTAAAAAAAGTCCAAACGAAACGAGACCTAGGTTCAGTAGGTCAGCACAGGTGGTCTACGTGGCTTGGTGGGATTGTGTCGCTTAGCACCTACACGTCTGTCTTGGGCAAATGGCGTACCCAGTGTAGAGAGCTCCCGCACTGTGCGGGGTCTGGGGAAGGGTATTAGTGGCAAGCCTTACCCTCGCATGTGCAATGCGAGGAGACCGCGACTTTCTTGGGCAGCACTGGTTTAATCTGGTGCGGTCTGTGGGTTCTCCCTGTACCTCTATACATAATTCCCGATGGCGTATCATTATAATATCCATTGTGCTTAACCACGTCAAAATGTAAGTATATATGTTATAAGGATCAATTTCCAGTTAATTTTGTTCTTCCTTCATAGTTTGATTAATCTAGCTAAGGAACCAAGAGATAAAGTATCACATGTTCCTTTACTATCAGTTGAAGCTTTTTCGAATTGAGTGGTATTATCTGCATAGCCCTCATTCATATTGGGATGTACAGAAAGAATTTTTTTTATCATGGTTAATAGTTTGCTTTTCATTTAGTAGTAATATCTCGGTACTTATATTCCCATAAAGAGCAAACATATTCATTACAGCTGTACTCACTTTTAAGTCTCAAACTACTGTAGGAAGAGAAAAGGGAAAATCAAAATCTGTATCTTTTGCTCTATCGGATGCTTCTGGGGTAGCTACTCCTACAGATACTGATTCTGAGATGGGTAACATCGGCGATTCCTGTAGTGACAAATTGACTGATGAAAATTTAAGTAACTCATCTCAGCAGATGGCTGAAAAGGTCAGTATGTTTCTTCTTAGAAAATGTAATGATCTATATTTACATGACTACTACAAGGTTTCTCCTTACTCTCTTTTTTTTTCTTTCTTTCAGCATTCTATCACCGAGGACCAATATTCAAATGATCAGGACCATGAGGGGGAGCCACTAGATCATGCTGTTGAACAGCAACCAAAATCAGATGTTGGAGAAATAGCATCATCTATGAAACTACGTTGCAGGAAAAAGTTGCAAAAAGTTGGGACACCTAATCACACTGTTGATGACTATTTTGATGAAGACTGTGTTGAACCTTCATTAGCTGAAGAAGATAATGATAGTGGTGATGATTACACTACTGGTAATAAGCGTAAGGCTGGGAAAAAATCAAGGGATAGTGTAGAAGAGTCACAGCAGCAGAAAGTTCAAAAAAATAAAAGCAAGGTGTCTTCACGGGGCCGCAAAAGAACCTTGAAGGATGAATTGGCAGAGAAGCCTGAGAAGAAGAAGCTAACCCACAGAATTCGTCAGAGGACACCAAAAGGTTGGTGGCTAAAAAAAAAATCAAAGCTTCAGTTTTGCATAATGTGAGTTTTCACTCTTGTATCTTGGGTATTTATTGTTTTAGAGGTTAAGACTTTACTGGAAACACCTCGTGAGGAGATAGATCCCATGAAGCTAAGTGCAGCACACCTCAGGTTGTTACAAGAGGCTAGAGAGCGTGTTAATGTGAGTTTTGTGGCAATTTTTGTTGTTATTTTTTTTTTTTTGCCAATTCTCATGATTTTCTTGACGATTTCAGCCAAAAGAGATTCCATCTGGGCCATCCTCTAGTACAAGGTGTACTTCTTTTTTCTTCCATTTCTCTATGCATGATAATATGATATCATCTAACCAAAGTAGATTTGGGGCATTTAGGTGGACATAAATGAACATATTGGACCAGTGTACCACTCCCTACTTTCCAATTTTCCATCCAGATATGCCATCTAGCAAAATGATTTTGAAACAACACATTTTATCATCAATGTTAGCATGTTTAGATATTTGTTTTTTTTGAAAGGGGATATTTTGCTATTTCATATAGGTTATTTCAAGATGACATTGATGTTGCTCTTGCTGGTTCCAGAATCATTATTTGCATTCTTCTGTTTTTTGGACTGCATCAAAGCTTCCATCACACTCTGCTAGCTCTATGTATTCCATTCCCGACATTTTATTTCATATACACCTGTTGAATAGCCAAGACCCTTCCAAAAGCAGCTTCTGACTGGTTTGGCAGCTCAAAAGTCTTTTAGTGCTATGTATTCCATTCCTGACATTTTATTTTACACCTGGAAATGCAGCTTAAAAGCCAAGCCATCCTTTTTGACAGTTTCATACTTTTTTAAATGGCTGATTGGTTTGTCTGAAATTAGGTTGAAGATTAAAATATCTAAAACATCCTTGATCAAAATTTAAAATGTAAAGGGTCAAACTATGAGTACTATAGTTTCATTTTTTTTATTTGCATTTATTTGATTCTTTCGTTAATATGTTATCTACAGAAGCTTTCAACTAGACGATATGGATGATTTGGACTACAGAGATGAGGAAGCTAGGGGCTTTGACAACGATATAACAGAGAACCATGCACAAAATGCAACAAAATTGAACTACCAATCCTACATGAACAAACCAGCCCGAGGAAAATGGTCAAAATCAGATACCGACTTGTTTTACGAGGTTTATTTTTCTTTAGAAATCAAACACTTGGAATGCTATATGTAATTTCATATGATCTTAGATCTTCTGCTAAGATGTTATTGTATTAATTTTGGACCAGGGTCTTCGACAATTTGGCAGCGATTTTGCAATGATACAGCAATTATTTCCTGATAAGACTCGCCATCAGGTGCGGCAAAAATTTAAATCTGAGGAGAAAAAAAATCCGTTGCTGGTCCATGATGCTATAATTCATCGCTCAGGAGGTGAGATGTCACTTAATTAGTGGGTCAACCTGCATTTTTTTCTTCTGATCTTTCATCTACCTTGGTGCTTGTCATTTACCAATTTCACTTATGTATGCAGATAATTTGTATTTCAAAAAGGTAATTAAGCAGCTCAACATTGAAGATGTGCTGCTGCCAGAGATTAACAATACACATAAACAAGATGGTGCATCAAGTGAAAAAGGCCCTGGAAATGAGGTTTTTCTTGAACAGACATACCATATGTTAATTTTATCTAATTAGATTTATAACTTATTTTCTTTGTTTCTAGAATGTACTGGATGATTTCAACGAGGAAAATAGTTCAAATTGGTCGAACGAAGAGCACGGCGGACAGATGGCTGATGTGCAAGAAGAGCATGATCTTGGAAATGATGGTGATGATGATGATCTTGGGGATGTTTTTGATTGGTACTAGTTTGATCACGGCTGGAATTAGGACAAATGATACTACGGTTATGATTCTGCTAATGTTTTGAGGTATGAACATGGTTTGTCAACTTTTTTTAATCATGGTTCCCTATGTTGCTAGTACTCCCTCCATTTCAAATTGTAAGTCTTTCTGGTGCTTTTGCTGCACACCTAGATATGTCTAGATACATAGTAAAAACTATGTACGTAGAAAAGCCAGAACGATTTACAATTTGGAACAATATATTGTATATAGCTCATCTTTCCTAGAAAAAAAACTATTTCCCAGCTTTTGTTGTTTGTGCCGATGAAATTTCCTCCCATACATTTCCCCTTTGGTTTCCATTATTGACATCCTCCTTTGCTGTGTTTTCAATGAATGACCAGTGCCGCTTGATGTGTTTGTAGAATTGGCACCATGCTGTTTATTATCGATTTATATTTTATTGACAATTGCTAGGTACATTGGTGGCTGGTCATGTTGTTTTGATTAGATCCTAGCGAGACTTTGTCGTGGGTTCTAGTCATTATTATGTGTACTTGGATTGCCTCAGAAGTAAATGGATGCATAAATGGGCTCTGTGCAATCATTATACCCCCAAAGAGGAACACAATGTGCACATACTGCCTTCTACGGCTTCCTCCAATCCTTAATTTTTAAGCAGGTAAATTCTTACATTTTTTTTTTCTGGATCAGGTACCTGACTTGCTGACTTTTGAGTTGCCACCTTCCAAGTTGATTTCTAACTAGAGGAAGTGACAGTCAATACTCCTTTTTACGTAGCGCTAAGAGTCAGATGGAAGGGGACCCACCATTTTTACAGACAGAAATCTGTGTAATGGATAGTGTCCAATTGACCAGCACATTCTTGGTGATTACTATCAGTACCAGTGGTTGGGACAGATGTGTTCTGGATGCCAAGTTTTGCAAGCCGATGGGAAGTGCGTGCACCGAGTAGTTGATATCATCTGACGCTGGCATGTTCGATACGTCATATTTCTCTTTGTACTTACTTTTTTATTACCTCCCACACAAATGTACTAGTGCTGATGGATGTTAGATACGTCATATTTCTCTTTATAGCAACTTCGATTTCCTTCTCCAGTTGTATATTGCTGATGCTCTGTGACTTGGATATTGGTTTCTTTGAAAGGCAGTATCGGTTTCTGTAAAACCTTACTCCGTATTTGGCATTTTTTTTGGGTAGCTATCCTGCTGAGCATGAATGCAAGAACAGTTTGTCTCTTCGTATGGAATTGAGTGTTGTCTAATGCCCCTTTACTTAAGTTTGTTACTAGTGCGTCGTGCCGAAGCTTAAACCCGTTGCATATATCCTTTATGTATCAACAATGACTTCCCCACCTTTACATAACACGACAAATTTGTAATTGTAGCTCTAACAGAAAATCCGAGCTTTGGCACATGAATATAGCACCTGAATTTTGATTTATGTTTTCTATTTATAGAAAGAAGTGGCAAAAACCAACTGATTGGGAAAAGTGACTTGCAACACACTGTTCCCATGAGCATTATAGAGATTGATTGACGCGTCGTCTAATATTACCATTAAATTCTGAAATAAATTAAAAAATACGAGTGTATCGGTATCAAATCGAATTCAGGTGAACATTGTTCTAGCACAAGAATCTAACCAGCTAAAGACTGTGATGTCCGTCGATATCATGTCAAGCGGTGGCCGTTTATATTTGTTCACGTCCCGGGCACAGACAAGTGGTTTGTCAACTTGGTTCTGTGTTCCAGGAGGATGGAGATGTTGGCTACCGATTGCCGCCCTTCACGCCACCGCCGCCGCCTCCCAACCCAAGGATGCTCACTTCCATGGATCATCGATGTAGGGTTAAGGCTGACATTGCCTTCCTAACATCCATGTCTGGCTCTATGCTTGTCCACTGACGATACTGACTGACTGCTCTCGCAATGCACAGCCGAAGCATTGGTGAAATCACTACTGCAAGCGACTAAGCGAGGGACGTGTAAGGCCACCACCGGTCACTCGCATCACCCCCTACTTCCTCCCCAAATCCCGCGCCGTTGGATGTCAGCCACTCCCGCTGCTGCAGTTGGCGCTGCAGGACCAGCCGCTCGGTGATGGTGATGCGCCGCGCCATCACAACTCGAGGCGACTGATGTCTAAGCTCGGCTCGGAGACTAGGTGAGTGCTTCCAAAGTGTTTGTTGAAATGCCTCACAGCCAGCAGAAATACTCGCTAGCATTTTTCCCCCTCTCTCTTTGATTTCTGGGGCTAGTTTCGTCTTAGAATGAACAAGTACTGCTTCCGATTGGAAAATACTTCAATCTGGAAACTGGTAGATGATTGCCAGTAAAATGAAGCCGGTCTACAACTGAAGGCGACAAGGCGAGACGTGGCGAGCCACTCATTTGAGTCGCCTAGGCGATCATCTGCCTGTTCGCTTGATCGTAAACGATCGTAAATTTCCAGCCGGGAACAGTGTTTTTCTCTCATATCAAACCAGCCAGCAGTAAATAATCCACGATACGATACGGCCTCCCAAACAGGCTGCATAAGGCGAGGCAAGGCGACACCATATGCTCAAGGCAAGAGAATGGAGAAGGGATAAAAAAGAAAAATGAAAAAGTAAAAGAAGAAGGACAAGGAACATAAAAGGCCCAGTCCAGCAGACAGCCCATAAAAGCCCTCCCCAACTATCCTGAACTATCTAGGGCTGCCACTGCTCCTCTCCAAGTGCTTCTTCTCCCTCTCGAACACCTTCTCAGTATCCACTGCTGGAGCCGCCTCCTTCCAGATCTCCTCTCCCCTTCCTCACTGCTGTTGTGACCCCCTTCTAGATCTCCCCTCCCCTTCTCACTGCCGCTGCCGCCCTCCTTCTAGATCCCTGTGTGAGATCCCCTGCTGTTGCCCTTCAAGAGCCCCTCCCAGATCTACTGGGGAGCAGAGATGGCGGGGATGGGAGCAGAGCCGATGGGGATGGGAGTAGAGATTAGTGGTTAGCCTTGCCTGGTCCTCCTCCAGTTCTTCCTATGTCTCCTCCCTCCCCTGCTCCCTCATTTTGCTGGTTTTGGTCGTGGCGTCGAGGACGCCCAGACTTTTTTCAGCACCTGGACGACTAGGCGACGCCTAGGTGACGACTTAAAAACTATGCAACTAACAGCGAGAACTGACGATTGCTTGTTAGAAATTAAGCATTGCAGGTTTTCACTGCATCTTGAGTACCTTCTACATGTACAAGTGGACCAACCTAAGTTGAAGGCAACAAGCTAATTACATCCTGTTCCAAATAAGTCCATTCTTCGAAATGGTGCTATTTCTAGAAATGTAGTTATTCAAAATTTGACATAACAAAAGAGGACTGTAGTCAGAGTTCCAGAGACACTGCCTCAATCCATATGCATAGCAAATAAGACCAAAATAAATATTAGTTTAAGGGTTCTTCAGAGAAAAACGCAACAGCACATTTGAAAGCTCTAGTTTGGTTTTGGTGAATTGATGAAACCCTAAGTGCTAACCTAGTTTATCAAGTGATCATGAGATAGGTAGCACACTCCAAGTGGTGAAGCAAATGAAGATCATAGCATGATAAAGATGATGACCAATGATGATCAAGTGGTAGACTTGAAAGAAGAAGAGAAAAACAAAAAGCTCAAGGCAAAGGTATAATTTGTAAGAGCTATTTTGTTTTAGTGATCAAGACAATAGAGAGTGTGATCACATTTAGGATTGATAACTCGCTACTGTTAAGAGGGGTGAAACTACATAGGTTCTCGAAATCCGGTTATCAAAGTGCCACTAGATGCTCTAACTCATTGCATATGCATTTAGGATCTAGTGGAGTGCTAACTACTTGAAAATGTTTGTGAAAATATGCTAACACTTGTGCACAAGGTGATACACTTGGTGGTGATGGCACATTTACAAAGGAGGTGATGTTTGTTGGTTGAGATGGGTTTGGGTCCCTCTATCCCTCCTGTAAAGCAAGCCTCGGCGGGATTCTCTGAAAAAATGGAATGCCTATTTTCTATTCTGCTTCGGATGCAAATTCTTGTGGTTGGCACATTGGAGCAAGGGTGAAGAAGTTAGAAGTAAAACGAGTTGATCGAAAAGAAATCATTGCTTCTCTTCTCATTTAGCTTCCCAGTTTGGAAAGCAATATTCTGGATCAAGTAACCAAAGGTGCCCCATGTGCGGTTGGTACTGACATGATGGGTCTGATCAATTGGGGTATATCTTGACCGGACGCTGGCCGAGTCCGGTTTAGTGGACGGAGTTTCCATCTAGAAGTAAAAATGGATTTGGACTTCACATCGAGAATGAGACGACAGCTGTGGTGGAAGATTGATATCAAGGCAGCAGCGTGGTCAATACTTAGCCTCCTAAGATCTGTGGTTCAATCCTTAACAATCGGAATGACACGTGGCAAAAATCTGTGGATCGGACTGAGTTGGAAGAATCAAAGGATGAAGAGTTTCAAGCAAAGAGTATTTGGAGTGAAGGGGTACAACGGCTCTATTTCGTGGGGCTTCTATTTTCAAGACAACATGACCCAAAGAGGCTCACAATGTTGGCTATTTTCATTGACATAGCAACCTTGTGAGCCTAGCCAAAGTTCTCCCACTCATCTACATCATTGATTCATCATCATAGTGAGATTGGACTTCTTGAATCCAAGTGCATTGCTTGAGTGATTGCATCTAGAGGCACTTGGTGATTGTGTATACTGATTTGCCATGTTACTCTTGGTGGTTGCCGAATACCTAGGCGGCTTGAGCAACAAGGATCGTTGAGTGGAGGAGGTGATTGTCTCCGACTAAGGAATCGTGGTGATTGTGAGGGTTTTGACCTTTTTCGGCTGAGCGATAAAAGTTACTCTAGTAAATTGCTTATGGCTTGTGTGATCCTCATCTTTGTGTTGGTTTGTGCGGCACCCTATTGAGGGTTTGGCGAGTGATGTCAATCAGCGTGAACCTCCAGAAGAGTGAATCGCCAACAACGAGGACTAGCTTGCCACGGCAAGCAAGTGAACCTCGGTAAAAATCATTGTGTTCATCATTTGATTCCGAGGTGATTGGTCTACATTGGTATTCATTATTGTGATTGATTGGTTCCTACCTAACATGGTATAACTCTCTTGCTCACTCTTACATTACCGCAAACTAGTTATCAAGATCTTTAGTGTAGCTAGTTGTGAGAGCTTGTTTGTTTGATTAGTGTTGCTCTTTAGTTAGTCTTTGAGAGTACACTAATTTAGCTAAGTGTCATAGCTAGATATGTGGTCATACACTATTCGATATAGAATTGTGGTAGGTGGCTTGCATGTTAGTAGGCTAGCGCAAGAGAACCTCAGACCGCATAAAATCAAGCAAGAACACATTTTGTTAAGTGTTGTTGTAGAATTTTATTAGGCTATTCACCCCCCCTCTAGCCATTAGGACCTTTCAACATTGCTGATGCTCAGCGTTTACAGGTTCCAGACAACATTCAGCTCAGCTTCCTAGGTTGAAGCCCTTACTGTAGTCATATATTTGTGCCCATAAGATTTGATAGAGATAAGCAAAACCAACCATTTCAACAGTAGCCAGTAATAAGTACCAATAATCCATCTAACGTGGTAGACTAGCTGATGATAAAAACTCTCGCTCCAAGCTAGCGTAGTTATAGCTGTGCTGAGGTGCTACATTAGCCCCATTGTTCGATTCAACAGAGGAGGATTGCCGGCGAGAGGTTAAAACTCTTCTTGTCACCAATGGCTGAATGTACTCCTCGTTTCCTGTGTCAACATGAGAAGAGTTCATCCTTTCTGCTAGTAAAAGCTGTAGTGTAATGACTACTTGCTTCATTGTCGGCCTTTCTTCACCCCGCAGCCTCAAGCACATCTCTGCAAGGGATGCGACCTTTTCAATCTCGTCCTCTGTTGCTTCCTCAAGAACTTCAGCAGCTATTATCCCTGTGGTCGGCCTTGTGATCTCTGAAAGGAAGTAGTTACACAGGTTCTGCTTCGTTCCTGATTCAGTTGTAAAAACTGGTTGTTTTCTCAGAAGAAGCTCTAGAAGTACCACGCCGAAGCTGTAAACATCACTCTTCTCATTTAGCTTCCCAGTTTGGTAATATTCTGGATCCAAGTAACCAAAGGTGCCCTGCACATTGGTACTGACATGGGTTTGATCAATTGGGGCAGATCTTGAAGTGCCAAAATCGGAAACTTTAGCAGTATAGTTTCCATCTAGGAGTATGTTAGAGGACTTCACATCGCGGTGGAAGATTGATATCGAGGCAGCAGAGTGGAGATAGTACAGGGCTCCTGCAGCTTCTGTGGCAATCCTTAGACAATCATTCCACGGTAAGGAGGATCCACTACTTGAAGAATCAGCATGAAGAGTTTCAAACAAAGAACCATTTGGAATGAAATCGTATACTAGTAAGGGGACCTCACTTTCAAGACAACACCCAAAGAGTTTCACAATGTTTATGTGATTTATCTGAGAGAGGATTGCAACCTGATTGATGAAATCATTGATTTCACCATCCTTGATAAGCTTGGACTTCTTGATAGCCACCACATGTTGATCAGATAAGATACCTTTGTATACTGTGCCATGTCCTCCATGACCAAGAATATGTGCGGGATCAAAGTTATTTGTTGCGTTTTCTAGCTCTTCTAAGGAAAAAAATCTTTGTATTCTCACTTGCATTTTCGTCTGATGATATTAGTTGCTCTAAGAGAAGGCCTTGGTTCTTTCGGAAATACTTCCTTCTTAGTTTCTTCTGGGCATTTCTTTTCCATCGTCTAATGAGCACTACTGCACTTAAGCCTAGAAGAAGAATGCCAAGACCACAGCTCAGCCCAATTATGATACCTACAAGAATAATGCCCCAGTTTGCATATATTAAGACCACATTGTCTGGTGCAGAAATGACAAATATGGCACTCACCTAACATTAAGTTTTTCTTTGATGCTGGAGTGCACTGATTTGCACCTATATCATAAATCGTGTGGCGAGGACACTCAGTGCAAGTGAAGTTTCCTATGGTATTATGACAAACTACACCTCTGCAAATGCCTGGCGACAGCTGACACTCATCAATATCTGTAGCCATATTCGCATATAAGGTGACATAAAACTTGCAAAAAGAATATGTAATTTTGTTACGAAATGACGCAAAAAGATCATGGCTATACATATTACATAATAGGTTAAAGGGGGAGGAGTGGGAGGGAGTACCATAACACCCATCTTGGATGTACGGATTTCCTTCAATACCTGGTAAGCATTTGCATCTGTAACCAACATATCCTTCTGAGGAGCTTATAACACTGAGGCAAGTGCTATGGTTACTCACACAAGCATATCCAGACGCATTCTGTTTTGCCAGTTGGCAGGTTAGATTAGCAACCGCCCACTGCACAGAGGCTGATTCCAAAGGATCCACAAATAGGCCAGGTTCATTAGAATATATCTGCAAATCCAGTAACGTAGTCAAATATTCCCAACTTAAGTTGAATTTCATGCTGACAAGGCCCTCACTCACATCTATGTATGTCACTTGAAGCTGGTCGTTGTATTGAAGGACAGAATGTGCCGGGTCTGAGCAGTTGAGTTGGAAAAGTCTCCTTGCAGAGCAACCTTCTTCTAGGCCAAAAGGAAACGGGACAGTAATGTTCCCACAGTGGTGAGAACAATTCTCCTTTCGTGCTTTCGGATTATATCCTGTTTACATGAAGAAATTTAAGTTGCTGAAGTGATCAATATTAACATACGCAAGAGTTGATAGTCCTATCAGACAAATTAAAAGAACCATGCAATTTTGTGAAGCTGAATTGAATAACTATAGAAAAAGCAAAATATTTTTTTCAACGAAGTGATTAATTTGACAGATAATAGAACAATGAAACAATTAGGGAAGGTGATCAAAATAAACCACTGGGCATTGCATATATGAAATCACCTTTATCATTCAGGCAGCCATCATAGATATAAGGATTTCCCTCGTATCCATTGTTGCACTGGCAGGCATAACCATGATCCAAGAACATCTGCGTCCTGCAACCACTGTGTTCACTAACACAAGCTGAGTTCCTCCTGTCTTCATTGTTGCTGGGGCATCTTGTGTCGTCAGTGATGCTCCACTCAATGGGAGTTTTAACAGTTATATTGATTCTATCCCATAGGATGCTCAAACTAGAGACTTTTTCAGTCCTCCTACCCCTTTTGTGAAGCACAAACTGAAATTCAAGAGCTTGAACAGGTATGTCAGCGAATATGAAGTGGCAACCACCCCCATCAGGATCCTGCGCATACACCATCTCTGCAATCGTTTTGTTGGGGCAGTTAACCGTGCTGATGACTTTAAAGGAACCTGTGTATTGATCTTTTAAGAGCACATCCAGGTCGCAGCCAACGATGCAAAGATCCAACATCACCACAATAGCAAAAGAATTTCCTGGAGCCTTCAGTGACATGTTGTAGACATCAACACCAGGCTTTATGGGGATTACTTGAGAAAAGGAGGCTCCAAAACTGTTGCAACCAAAATCATCAATACTACTATGAACTTTGGTACCGTCGTGTAAGAATAGTTGAGGGGGCTGAGCGGTGCTGTTGCAGAAGAGCCTGAAGTCAGGACCCCTGAAGCAACGATCATCAGGTCCTATGCCAAATGGGTACTCAAAGCTCAGGTTGCCGCAGCTTGTTTGGCAGGCAGCAAGCGTGGCGGCTGAGGGAAGGCTGGTGTAATTGGAAGAAGTTGTATGGGCTCCATGGTCCTGTAGAGATCTAGCCTCTAACCTTCTGACCATGGCCTTGTGGGTGATCAGATGGCTAAGAGACTCTGTTCTAGGACTCTCTCTGCTCCTTGCTACTGCTGAGGTCCCTGCTACTGCCGTCCATAAGGATGCAAGTATGAGCAAATCCAACATGGTGTTGGAGCAGTCCATCTCTCAATGTGATGAGCTCAACTAGGAGAGAAGTCTGAGAACTGAGCGTGTATTTGGATATAGTATAAACACATCACAGAGTCTTCGCTCTGGTCATGGTGGCCTCTATTTTGACGGAGCATAGACCAAAGACAACCACATATTATTTAAAAAAAATTCCCTTGAATCACCCTAAGCATAGAGGTAAGTAGGAGAGGGAGCCAGGCTCCTCGAGGTGTCGGTGGGCCGAAGCGGTGTCGGTGGGGCTGGCCCGAAGCGGTGCGGAGCAGGTCCAGCACATGTGCTTGGTGTTTAAACTTTGAAGAAATAGTTTTACAGGATTGAAACACAACTCTCTCAGTATGTTGGATTATTCATCTACGTAGACACGTATTACGAATCCATGACAGATGTCCACAACGGTTACTTCCTGGACCAAGAAATCGAATGCCTTTTGACTTTTAAATCAGACGACCCATCACGTTTTTCTTATGTCATTTGACTTTCCGCTGGTTTCAAAACGTTCCAGAGCAATTATCGCACTACATTAAACGTTGACAGACCAATTCACGATATATGTTTTCTTTCTTCGTTGAAGAAGAAGAGAGGAGGCATGGCTGCAGCACGTCTTTGGCACACGCATACAGCTGGACGGACCTGGACCGATCAGGATAACAATACTAAGGCTGCTGAAGAATATTCAGACACCGCCACGTCCACGTAGTGCAAGTGCGGCTCCTCCGGCGCTCAGAGGCCGGGACTAGTGGTTTGCTGGCAGGCAGCGCCGGTGTCTGCTAGTACTCCAGCACATCTCCTGCGACGGCCGGGTCGCGTCGACAGTGTGTCTGTGCGAGCATGGTGGCCGTCGCGCTGCTCCCTGCTCGACCACGACCAGGACGGCAGCAGCACAGGTGTCCAATGTCCACCCAAAGTGGAGACGTGCAATGGAAAGCAGAGCAGAGAGCAGAGGCCACGCCGCCAGGGCACAGGGCATGGCGTTTACCGACAACGTGGCCACAGTGCACAGTCAGTCAGCGACTCAGCGTCCATCGGCGCCTGCCGAATGCGGATAGGTACTGTCGGCATTCCAGTGGCCGACAGGATGCTCTACTGTAATTTTTGTATGACAGCTGCTAGATTTACAATTATTCATTAAAAATATTATTTAAAAACAAAATTCACTGATTCGGACTGCTCTCGCAATGCCCAGCTGAAACATTGGTGAAATCAATGTGCAAGCAAAGCTAGGGACGTGTACTGCCACTACCGGTCATTCGTATCACCCCTGCTTCTTCCCCAGATCCCACGCCATTCGCTGTCCGCCGCTCCTGCTGCTGCAGCTGTGTCCAGCAGCGCCATGGGGCATCACAACTAGAGGTGAGTGTTGACTGATGTTTGAGCTCGGAAACTAGGTGAGTGCTTCCAAAGTTTTTGTTGAAATGCCTCATAGCCAGCGGAAATGGTAGTTAGCATTTTTGTTCCCCCTCCTTGATTTCTGGGGTTGCTTTCGTCTTAAACCACTACTGCTTCCAATTGGAGTACTTCAATCTGTAAACTGGTAGAGGCATAGCCAGTAAAATAAAGCCGGCGTACAACTGACAGCGAGAACTGACGATTGCCTGTTACAAATTAAGCATTGCAGGTTTCCACTGCGTCTTGAGTAGCTTGTACATGTACAAGTGGACCAACCTAAGTTGAAGGCAACAAATTAATTACATCTTATTCCAAATAAGTCCATTCTTCAAAATGATGCTATTTATAGAAACGTAGTTATTCGAAATGTGACAAGACAAAAGAGGACTGTATTTAGAGTTCCGGGGACCTGTCTCAATCCATCAGCTCGTTCGGCTAGGCTGGTCAGCCACCTCACAAAAACACTGTTCATCTGAACCAGACAGCAGTACTTCTCTTTCACGTAAATGAACCAGCAACGATACGATGCAGCCAATCGAACATGCTGCATATGCATAGCGAATAGGACCAAAATAAATATTAGTTTAAGGCGTCGGCGTGTCAATCAGGTCGCCATCGATGGCCTCATCATCACCGGCGCTGGTTCGTTGGTCGTTGCCCTCAGGTCTCTGCTGTCTGCTCGACTCCCCTACCCTAATCCCCTGGCTTTTGCTTTTCCCGCCGGCCGGTCGGCCGGTCGCCGGGTCCAACCAGGGGGGGCCAGGGCCAAAAGCACACAGAGGCAGGCAGAGGCGGCCGGCACCGTTCGGGGTTTCGGCTGGGGCAGGCAGGCAGCCGCGGATCGAGGCACGCGCTCCCCGGCCGGCCCCGTGCCCCAGCACAAGGATACCGGCACGCACGCATGGCTCTTCCGGCCTTCCGGGCTCGCGGTCTTCGATGGGTTTCCTCCTCCCTGGATCCTGACCGCCTGGTCTGTTCGGCACTCGGCACCAGGCGTCAGGTCGGGTCGGGACTCGAGGCGACCGTGCTCGGCAACGTACGGCGGCCGCCACCTTTGTGTCTGCCGGGTGGCACGGCACGACGTCGCGTAGGGTTTCCGTCCCGACAATGTCATGCAACAGCCAACAGGAGATGGACCAGTTGTGGGCTGTGTAACGTCTGGACTCGGCAGATGGCGGCAACAGCAGCACCTGGGGAAAACAGGGAGTGTTTTGCTTTGCCGGCCCAGTTTGGTGAATGCATAGGCACTCTTTGCCTTTGCCGTGCCTTGCCGTGCTGACATCTTGTGTTGTCTGTGCACTGTGTGCGCGTGGCGTTCAAAAGCAAATTCCGTGGATTCGTCAAATCTGGAATGTTAATTCTAGATAAATTGTTAAACTTTTCTACTACATCCTATTTTAGCTACTCCCTCGGTCGCCAAAGAACAATGTAATTCCTATTTGTAAATAAAGAAGTTAAATGGTTTCAAACTTGAGCGGATGTGTACAAAAATACTACCATTTATAATACTGAGTCAAGGCCATCATTAGATTAATTATTATGGAACAGCAAATCTATTTAAAGAACACAAATATTGATATTTTTTTATAAACTTAGTAGAATATGGATTAGTCAACCTTGTTTTCTACAAACCTAGTAGAATTCACTACTGGACTCCTAATCCTAATCCTTCAATCCAACGTTCTAACGAACTCATATTTTCCTCCATACCCTACCTACTCATTCAAATCATTCGATCCACCGTGGAGGCCGAGGAGGAGCTTCATTACCTCGACAAGGCCGAGGAGGAGTTTCGGGGAAGGGAGGGAGGGGAACGCCAAGGGAGGGAAATTCGGCGGACGGCCGTGGGGGAGCCGGGAGGCAATGGCGCGGCGGTGCGGGCTAGGAGGCGCGTCGGCAGGGGCAGGGCGACACGGAGGCGCCTGCTGTGCCCTGGCGACTAAAACAGAGAGGGAGGGGCGGGGTTGGGCCGCGGGCCTTTATTAGGCTCTGCTGCACCCTGGGCGGTGGCGCGTCACTGCCGCGCCATGATGCGTGGCGCGTCACCGCCACGCCCTGATTGGTGGCACGGCAGAGCCGGCCACGTCACCGTTCAGTGGCCTGGTCGCTGCCACGTGGGCAGCCTCGCCGTGCCCCCATGCATGGCGGTAGTGTTAATTCGCCGCGCCGTGAAAGTCAAAACGTCTTATAATTTGAAATGAAAAGTGAGATTATGAAACGGTACCTATCGGTGTTTCGGACCGGGGGGTCCTCAACCAACTAGTAAATTTGTACTGCGTGCCCCTAATCCCGGATGGTGATGCAAAGAGACACAAGGTTTATACTGGTTCAGGCAATCTATACCCTACATCCAGTCTAGGAGATCGATCTTGTATTCCTTGCACCGAAGTGCTCATAGTAGGGGGTTACAAGCAGGACGAGAGAGGGAGCTAGCCCCAAGTCTCTATGATGAACGGGACGAATTGCTCGAGACGCTGATCTAAGTGTGGGTGCTATGACCTGTGTTCGTCTTCCTCGTGAGTTCATATGTGCCTAAGTGTGTTCCAGTTCATGCCCGTGTCCCTCGTCCCTAGAAACAGCCCGGTCCCTCCCTTTTATAGTAGAAGGGGGGATGGGGGTGATACATGCGCTAGTTACGTGGCGTCGTGTGAACAGAGGCGGCATGTCCGAGACCTGTAGCCTGTCGCTGTGGCGGAATAGTCGATGGAGTGGTTCTGCCCCTGGCCGGAGCAGCGCACCGGTCACATCCAATCATGTGCGACGTAATAGCTTGATGTAGGGCCTGACGAGCGACGTGCCGGTCATAGTGCGTCGTCCGCACGAAGTGCCGAGGCTTAGCCGGTGCCGAGGCCGAGCCATCGTGGGGGGGGGCTCGGCAGGTGTGAACCCCAAGGTTGTCGAGACCCTGAGGTAAATTGTCGAGGCGTGGGTGGAGCGGCTGACCCTGCACACTGATTTCGAGGCTACAGGGATCCGAGCTTAACTCCCCATGCCGCGTCGTCCTCGGAGTAGTTAGAGTTAGGCAGCACAGTGCGGTATGGACATTTAGTCGTGGGCATAGTGCTGCGCACAGTGGCCGGTAACTCCTGCCTTGTCTTGTTTCGAGTGGCATGGTGCCGATGTGATTTGTGTCTCGTCGGCCACTCCTCTCGTACCGAGCTGTCATCCGGATGACATCGTGGGAGTAGTTGGTCGAGGTGGTGGCGATGGGGTGGTTTGCCGAGCCCGTCTTGAACCAGGTGGAGCGTTGGTAACTCGCCCGAGGCCTTTTGGGCGGGGTCTCGGACGAGTTGGAGAATCGGTTTCCTATCCGAGGCCTCTGAGGCCATTGGCGAGGCGGAGAGCTAGTTATCCATCCGAGGCCTTGGATGTGCCCCGCGTGCGATACGGGGGCCTCGACGGTCAGCGTCGTACTCGGTTTAGGTGAAATAGTGCGGGATGTGTGTCCATAGGGCACGGTAACCCCTGCACCGTCAGTAAGGGATGGCAAAAAGGAGATTTGACCGTTGTCCTATCGCCCCTGTTGCTGTACCCTGCCGGTCGTGGCTGATGTAGCGGGTGCTCACAGGGGCATTAAATGGATGGGACAGTCTGCCTGAGGGACGGTC